GTGTGTTTGTATGTATTGTGTGTGTGGTTCGTCTGCGTGTGTTTGTGTATGTGTGTGTGTGTGTGTGTGTGTTTGTGTGTATTGTGTGTGTGTGTGTGTGTGTGTTTGTGTGTGTGTGCGATTGTGTGTGTGTTTTGCACAACGTGATAAAAGATACATCCTGTGATGTCACATCTGGTCAAGAAGTCCTAGGTCATCTGAAAGTGGGTGAGAAGGGGAGGGGGAGATTAATGGCAGTGGTTGGTGATGTGGCGTAGGGGGGGGGGCATGGCGTGTAAATATTTAGCACCTCCGTCTACAGGAGTTTTCATCCTTTATGGAGGAAGGTTGCTTCGACACCGTTTGTCAGGGCCAGGTAGTTCGCTGTCGGACGTGTCTACAAGGCGAAGAAAACCATGACCATTACACGCAGCCTGCGCCGGTTAAGTGACTTTAGTCCAGGCTAGCGACAAATCGTTTTCTTATCCTACTGGGGCAGAATTCCTTATTTAACCTGTTTTATTGGTCCGTTTTCTTCCGTATTATGAGCCGAGTCTACGTCTCCCCCGCATCGCCATCCTTCTGGCCTTCTTACGCGTGTCTACCTTTTGGCGTGCACTTGTCGAAGGGGAGTTAATTATCGCTTAAGCTTAAATGGGGTGCACACGAGTATGTAATGTCTCACGATTTTTGCAGGATCGTCAGGATGGTGGCGGGCTTTTTGTCTAGATCTAGATTTCCCAGAGCTAAGTGTCATTTTGATATAAAAATGCGATTCGATCGTCCTAGGTCAACCGTGTAAAGGTCCGTGGGAAATAGCTCTTAAGGGAACAGCATGGCCAATTTATTTTTTCCCAATGATATTTATACTTTACTATTTGCACTTTATTTTCCATAAAGAAGTGTTAGGTATATGTACGAATGTGCATACTGACATAAAGGGGTTTGGGGGGGGGGGGGTGATTGTGGTCATTGCTATATAAAGATATATTCAGTGTAATATTGACATGGGCAATGCACTATATTTAGTTGAAGTGAGCCCAAAGAGTTAGAGACAACCACATCCCATTTGAAAGTAGCACGAATGATTGTTCAGTTTGTCGAGTGTGTATAAATTGGTGGTCAGTGGAAGGCATACCACACAGTATACTCTTTTCTAGCAGAACTCAGCTTAAATTAACTTTGAAACTACTACAGAGTAACCTACCCCCCCCCCCCAAGGCCATAGATGTGGCACAAATACAGAATGATTATGTACTAGCAGCTACAGACAAAAAGGTGAAGGGACTCTTACTGTCACCACTGGCTTGTCTCTTTTGACGAAGGAATCACGAGTCGTTGATTGCTTGACAATTATCGTTGATATTCGTGTTATTTTTTTTAAAAGATCAATTCCTTTGACTGGAATGACAGTCTTATCCAAAGACACATTTCTTTAGTTTAGTCGTCCCAAAAACACGAGAACGGTATATCGTGGAATAAGCATACTGCTACCTCACCAATCCTACACACGGATCGTACGTTATGACAGTCGGGCAGCTCTTCCAAAATCATCAACGTGTTTCCCTTTTAGATCGTGTTTTACAAATACATGTACATGTATTAAGATTGGCCTATGACAGCTAAAAAACTGAAACTAAATTATAAGAGATAGAGTCAAGTAAAATGCAAAATTGACTCTGACTTTCATAAAATCCGGCAGTCTGTGAAATCGGGAGGGCCTCAGACGAATGTCAACCAACCTTTAGCTCCTTTCAACAGGACCCACGCTGTGGCAACCGGTCTCCATTTCATTGTTCTTTTACGATGTAGAGTGCGGGTTTGTTGTGCGAGTTTACTTCTAGGCGTTTGTCCAGACATTGCGACAAGTAAACTTCCACAGTCGTTTGGCGCGCCCCTGTTGGTTCTACCAAGGGAATTAGAAAGGTGTATAAAATTAAAGGATCTGTTTTACGAGCATGTTGTCTCTTATTTTGTATGCAGTTGGTCGCTGCTCTCGTGC